TATGCAACCTGAACATATATTGTAATATCTCAATTATAGCTAAAGCAAGATGTCTTTCAAAGTCTGTTTCTATTGAGGTACAATGACTGGAAGGAAAGTCAGGGTCGAAGGACAAAGAGACCTGTGCCAATTTCCAGCAATAGCCTGGGTTTCTTTTCCCTCCTATAGTCATGATTGTTTAAGGCTCCTCCATGGAGATGGCTGGTAGAGATAACAGTCTGGCCAGAGGGAGGAGGCAGGCCCAGGGCCCTTCAGTCCTACTGGACCATTTGAGAAGCTGAATCTGAGCTCTGGGGCCTCTGCCTCAGAGTGCAGTCTCACTTCCAGTGGCTACCGTGACAGTCAGGGCATGGCTCGTGGGCCTCTTAAGGCAGTCCCTCTTATGCTGGCCTGGCTTCTGACAGCAGTAGCAGATGAACCTCATTGTCCTTGAGCTCTTCTTGGAGCCAAAAGAATCAGACTTAGGGTCTGTTTTGAGGCTGCAAAAATGGCAACTGTTTTTGATCTCTTTGTTCTCTCTCCTTGCTTTTCTCCCAGTTCCAATTATAGGTCACTTAAACAGTTTTTACCAAAGTATCAAATGAGTTGTCTGGAGAAAAAGCTATCTTTTGTAGCTCCTGAACTTTTCTGTAAGAGTAATCTGTTTCTCTATTTAATATTGGACGAGGCATCTGAGTTCATGATATAGTTGGAGGAGTCTGTAAAAGAAATCTTGTGCCAATCTTGATCTTTCCCTAGAAGGAAACCTGTAGGGGACTGGTCTATAAAGGAATAATTAAATTTGTATATAGCCCATTCATGGTAAGGATCTCTGCAAGTCTGCCATGGACCCAAATCACCTTCCTCAAAGTGAGGGGCATGAGCTTCTGGAATACAGATAGGAATGTTGGGTTTAAAGTTTCTTACCATGTTGCCCTCTGTGGGAATAGAACTTCAGGTTTATAGGGCAAATCATCTTTTAGACAATTGCACTTTCCATGTTTGATCAGAAACTGTCATGCAAAGGCCCGAATCTTTTTGTAGATGGACTACACATAAGAGTGGAAATATAAAATGAGATGTGACATTAAGCCTAGTTTGTTCTTGTAGATGCACTAAAATTTGTGGGCCTGGCAGAACAGTAGATGAGGGGGTATTGCTCTCTATAGAATGGAAAACTTCTGGAGGCCTGTCCATCCAAGTAAGTGGTCTAAGTAAGGGTGGATTAGGTATGTAGGCCCAATACTCTTCTCCCTGAAGCAGGGGAATACATACTGTAGCTGCTAGGAGAGCAAGCATAGCGATGAAAAGATTGTCAGGTGATTGAATCAAACCCTGGCAGTCAACAAGGTGTTGCGCCTCATGAATGGACTGCTGCAGGCCTTCCCAGGAGGGGGAGGATGTGCTCTCAGGTTCGTTGTTTGAGGTCTCAGGAGAGAGCTGGATGTGTTGTGTAGATGGGTTGGATTCTGGCCATGGAACAGCTCTGATGATGGTAATATCTCTTGGTTTTCTTTAAATTGGTCACACAAGGTCCAGTGAGTCGCCTGCACGTGATTCTGGTAAGTGGTCATTGTGTTAAGGTTGTGCTTTCCGGCCATGCTGAGTGCCAATTGTAGGAGACACTTCCAGGTCCTCGTCTTGGTCCAAGAAGCCAATATTTATAATCCCAAAGTTACGTTACTGAAATCCCATCAAGTTGATTCCAATCTACAACTTACAGTGCAACCCACGACGAAAATAAAGACAACTAAATTATATTTTCAATCATCGGGGAGTCAAGGGGCTCTACATCCAGCCATGAAGATGGCTTTCCGGAACCAAGAGCAAAAATTTCTTGAAGTTAACATGACTTTAAAAAATCTCAGGCATATATTAAATGTATAGAAATTAGTCACTTCTGGAAAAGAGAGAAGTAATTTTACTTCTGTGGAAACAAAACAGGATAAAACAAATTAGGAAAAATGGAGGAGTTAAAAATAAGCTGAAGCGGGCCTGGGAGATGGCTCAGTAAAATAAGCGCTTCCCTAGCAAGTGCAAGGGCCTGAGTTCAATACCCGGTTCCGCAAAAAAAAAAAAAAAAAAAAAAAAAAAGCTGAAGCTTTCCAATAATATAAGACTTGAATAAATGGAACGAATCACTCTTTTCTAGTTAGGAAATGTCAAAGTTATAGAAATTTTATTTCTTTATAATTATGTAAACTTATGTTGAATGATTTTATAACTTTATTAATTGATCTAAAAGTTCATCTGGTAGAGTGTATGGTTGAGATTATCATATCTGAAATTCTTGCAGCCAGAAATGTTTCAGATTTTGAAGTTTTTTAAAAAAATTTTTGAATATTTGCATATACTTGACTAGCTGAATATCTTTAAATGCTCTAAAATCAGAAACTGAGTGTCCTGTCAGTGCTCAAAAATTTTTGAATTTTGAAGCACTTGAGATTTTTGTATTAGAGATGCTTAACCTGTACTAATCTTTATGATAGAAAAGAACATACAGTGCTTTCAGGATTATTTTGGGCATTAGGCATAATTTTGGGTACCAGGTGTACAGCAATGATCAAAATATGTAAACATTTATAATATGTCATTTAGGAAAGCAGGCAGTAAATGTGGTAAAAATGTGTTGATTTGTGTAAAATAAAGATAAGATGACCTTAAGAATCTTTTCTGTCAGATACAGTTGCAATTTAATGTCAGTCTCTTTGCAAAGAATAGACACATTACTTTCTTGTTCTTTTTTCACATTTAAAATGACAAATCAGATTAAAGTATCATTGTTTTTCTTTCACATTATATATGCTATACCTACTTTTAAGTATAAGTGGCATAGAATTCATGGAGGAGAGAAGCATGAAAGTATTTGGTGCCTAGAGGACTTCCTAGTCTCCTAGAGGCAGGTCGCAGAACCCAGTCCTGGGCAGAGTGGAGTCCAGAGACAGGGCAGCAGATGAAGCCCACTGTGGTCCTGTGTTCTGCCATAGACTATTGCATACAAGATTCTTCCTTGAGTAGCTCCCTTGAAAAGCTGAGGCATAAAGTGATATAAGTAGAGACATGAACAATGACATGAGATGTTTTGAAGGATGTTAGAGTAAGTTTGAAATCTAAGCATTTTCTAGGTACTTTTATAGGGATCAGTTGCAGTCTTTTATCCCCTCTGAAGTACCAAATTAGAATCTAGCTTCAATATAGACACAGGAAGACTCAGTGATAGTGATTATGTATGTAGACTGCAGGTAGGTGGAAAATGAAGAGCGTTTCAGTTACTCTTCTCTCGTTGCTAGGACAAATACCTGACACCCAAAATGGAGAAAGGAAAGGTTTACTTAGCTCACAATTACTGGAGGTTTCAGTCCATACTCAGCTGGCTCCAAGGCAGCACAGCACATAGCAGAGGGCAACACTTCATGGCGGCGGGAAGCAGCAAAACAGCAAAGGGAGGAGTAGCAGCAGTAATGGCTACAGACAGGAAGTCTCTCTCCCTTAAGTTTCATTCAGGCTCTCTGCCCCAGGCTGGAAGTTGGACTCTTCCATAATCCCAGCAACACTCACGCCCATAATCCCAGTGGATCATGAATCAATCACAAATTCTAGAAGTCTGACCCATGATTGCATGAGGCTTTGCGGGGACAAATACAAATGATAACAAAGAGAAAATGCAGTTACTGTATTTTTAAATCTGTTTTCACTTATGATCTTATGTCGAGGTAGACATTGGATATCCAAGTGAGTATGGCTGATGTACAAATAAAAGTAAGAAAATACAGTACTATTGGAATTAGTCATGGTTGAAATGAAGGTCAAAGCAGAAAGTCATTTAGATATGGGCACTAAACCTTGGAGGTAAGAAGATGGAGTCATCAGTGGTATAAATGGGAGACCAGGATAGTGCAGTACCCTGCATCTGATACCAAAGGTTGTGAGTTATGTTGTGCTTGAACATAATCACAGGAAAAATGAGGTTGCTTTTGATCCTCAAGAATGCGGTGGAAATGATTGAGATGGCCATAAATGAAGGTTGCAGCAGTACTTAATGTGTCAAATAGTTTGTGTATGTGCTGCCGAAATGAGCACATGTATTACATAGTTTGAAATTTGAGGATTGGTAATTAAGACACTGAATGCCTACTAATTGAACTTTAGTCTCTTAGGGCATAGCCTTAGATATTTTAAACTATAACAGAAACTAATAAGCCTTTTCTTCATAGGGCTAGAGATTAAGTATTTTAGGCTTTGCAGCTGTAATCTTTGTAATAGTTACTAACCTGGCCTTAGCATGCGACTAATATTTGATAATATGTAAACAACAAGTGGGGAAGCTGTGTTCCAACAAAACTTTACTGAAACCACTGATGGACTATCCTTGATCAGGGAACCTCTGCTTTTCTGATTTAGGGTACTTTCTATTATTTATTTGTTCTATTTGGTTTAAGATGCAAATTAACATTGTCTAACTTCTTCCTGATAATTTTATTAAGACATTACAGTAATATTGAAGTTTTAAAAATTAGGAATTACTGTTCTGTCAGTTCTATACAAAGTAATAAACTTGACTAAGCATCTTTCATCCTCTGAAGTACGAAATGGTAGAACTCAAATAAGTATATTTGTTCCTTGTGTCTCGAAGTATGCCATCATATGTATCACATAGTGATATTTTGTTCAGCACTGGGCAGCATATGCAACTGTGGTCCCATAAGATCTTAGTGAACCTAAGAAGTTGCCGTCACCCACCACTTTTACTACACCTTTGCTAAGTTAGATATATTTAAACACATAAGTACTTACCAGTATTGTATAGTTTTCTATTGAATTTAGGCCATAACATGCTGTATAGGTTTGTAGCCTGAAAATAATAGTGCATCCCACTTAACCATCTAGATTGTGTAAGTACAGTCTATCACCTAATGAAGCATTTTTCGGACTCTTAAAGAATAGTTTAATGTGACTTAAGTTGATTTGTTGCCTTCTGTCAGTTTATCTATTTTAGTAACAATTTGCTTTTACTTTTTCAGTCTCGGAGAAATCTGTGTGAAGAGGCTTTGTTAAAAATTAAAGGGGTTATTAGCTTTACTTTTCAAATGGCTGTTCAAAGATGTGTGGTACGCATTCGTTCAGATTTGAAAGCAGAGGTTAGTATTTTCAATGTCTAAATATGCTTGAGGTTACATGTAAACAAAATCTGTATTCAGAACTGTTCTTTTTTTCCTGGCCCAGGCATTGGCATCAGCAATAGCATCCACCAAGGTCATGAAAGCACAGCAAGTTGTGAAAAGTGAAAGTGGGGAAGAGGTAAAGTTTCAATTCACTTTTTTTTTTTTTTTTTTTTTTAAATTTTATGTGTTTAGTACAGGGTCTACAGGGTCTCACTACACAGATCAGACTCATAGTGATCCTCCTGTTTTTAGCCTCCTAAGCACTGGAATTACAGGCAGCGTCACCACGCCCAGTCTAATTGCTATCTCAGTTTGTCTCCAGGGTGGGGCCTCCATAGCATGCCGGGGATTGAATCCCGGTCCCTGCATATGCCTAAGCAGGTGCTTTAATCTGCTGAGCTATCTGGCTGGCCTCAATTCATTTTTAAATACTTAATGCAGACTTTTGATTATTTTATGTGGCTGGCAGACTGTTACTATTTGTAGATCCATAGTTGTCAAATAGATAATAAATGTGATCTTGCTTAACACCCATTTTAGAAATAAGAGATGTTTTATGGATTTCATAGTCCACTATTGTGAAAAAACCTTTTTTTTTTTTAACTCAGTGTAGATACCTTAGTGATTTAAAATGGAATTAAGATTCCTTAGGGGCCAGGGAGATGGCTCAGTAGAATAAGCGCTTCCCTGGCAAGCGCAAGGGCCCGAGTTCAATCCCTGGTTCCGCCAAAAAAGATTCCTTGGACTTCTTGCATTGATTTTTTAAAAGTGCTTTTGCCCTAAGTTAAACTAGTCTTGGCAGTCCAGAAAATAAATATGCAACTGTTGGACAAGTGCATATGGTGACAATCTTGCTTGTTGCTGTTCTTTCCAGTACTTGGTGATTGGGAATATCAATTTCTGTACCTTAAACTCATGTTGGTTCCGTGGGTTGCCAGGGGATCAAAGGGTCCCAACATGTGGCCTAGTCATTTTTACATAGACGGAGGTGCTCTTTTACTCTCAGAGCCTCTGAAGATCAGCATCAGTGTTCTCATGTGTAGTTCTTCCATTTTTATAAAACATTCAGCCTTAGGCCTGTTGTCACACAGGAGGAAAATTTCAGAAAAAATAGAGTTCCTGACAGAAATAAATACGGAGTCAGGTGTGGTGACACATGCTTATTATCCCAGCACTCTTGAACCCTGAAGTAGGAGGACCATAAGTTTAAGCCTAGCCTTGACAACTTGATAAATTAAGACCATGTCTTAAAAATAAAAATGCCTGGGGATAAAGTTCAGTGTGAAGGCCCTGGGATTAATCTCTATCATCACAAAAAAAAAAAAAAAAAAAAAATACATATGGTAATCAGAATGAGAAATAAAGTTGACCTTTAATTTAGGATGGCAATATGTTCGTGCACACCTGTAATCCCAGTACTTGGGAAG